AGTGAATGTTGAAAACTAAAAATAAATAAATTTATATTTTTTTAAAAAAAAGGTTTTTCTGTTCCACTACCCCTTTTCTCTTCCCTTCATCCAGATTCCAACAGTTGGTTCTTAATTTCTATGTTTTTCTTTTTTAACCTGCCCTTTATTATCCACCCTCAAAGCTGAAATTTGTTTTTCTCAGGACTATTCTTTCCCTCATACCACTCTCCCCCTTAAACCCACTCCCCATTCTTCCTATTCACATGTTTCTCTCTTCAGTTCAATTAATATGTTTCCTACAAATTCATTGTATTTGTGTAAGCATGTCTGTTCAACCTATCTTTGACTAATTCCAATAAGAATGAGGTTCATGCAGTGCCTGCTGCCTCTCCCTCTTCCACTTTGTATATCCTTTTTTCCTCACATTATGAGAAATAGTATCTTTCATCTTCCTTTTTTCTTCCTTTGCTTTCCTCTTTATGACCATCAAACCAGAATTGATCCACTTCCACATCCTTTCATCTCATCTCATCTCATATCTGTCACTGACCTTGTTAGACATTAAAGTTTTAAGTAGTACTTCATTCTTCTTTAATTCTTAAAATGTAAGTCCTTCATCATGAGATAGCCCCTTTCATTTATCCAGATGTATTTACCTTTCTGGTTTCACTTGCCTCCTTTGTTTGAATTTTTGAATTTTCTACTGATTTCTGGTCTTTTCATCAGAAGTATATGAAAATCTAATCCACTGAAGGCCAGTTTTCCCTTATCAGATTAAACTAAGTTTTGCAGAGCAAGTTGTTCTTAGTTGTAAGCCTCTATCTTTTGCCTTTTGGAAGATTTTATTCCTAGCTCTCATCTCCTAAAGAGTGGTAGCTACAAAAAATTATTTCATAGATTTTGGCTATGACATGCCTGGGATTTTTCATTTGAGGATTTCTTTCAGAAGCTGATCATGGATTCTATCTTTTTAACTTTGTCTTTTGGTTTAGATCTGGACAGTTTTCACTTGGAATTTTTTGAAATATTGAATCCAGCCTTTTTCAAAATCATGAATTTTATTTACTCTGATGATTCTTAGATTACCTCACCTTTCACTCAAAAAGCATTTAGTAATATCTTCCAGTATGTCAGGTACTATCCTAAGCATTTGGGATAATACAAAAGGCAAAAATATGGTCACTGACCTCAAGGAGTTCACGTTCTAAAAGGAGACAACATGCAAAAAATTGTACATACAAGATGTAGACAATTAAATTTACATTGTAAATTAATTTTTAAAAAACTAAGCAAAAGAAATTCCTATATTTAACATGTTCAGAAAAATATCTCATTTTGCATTCTTTAGTTCGTCACTTCTCTGTCAATAGAAGGTAAAAACAGAGGATAATAGCAGTGGGAGTAAGGGAGTAGGGGAAGTTGGGAAAGGTAGGATTTGGGCTGAGTCTTGATGGAAGCCAGTACATAGTGGTGAGGAGGAAGAGCATTCTAGACATGGAGAACAGCCAGAGAAAAGGCACAGAGTTGGGGGATAAGGTTTCATATTCAAGGAACAATAACAATGCCAGTGTCACTATACTGTACAATTTGTGAAGAGTGATAAAGAAATCTGAAAAGTTATGAAGGCTCGAAGTAATAAGGAACCATTGAAATTCATGCTGCACTTTTGGAAAATCACTTTGGCAACTAAGGGTAGGATAGATTGGAGTGGGGAAAGACTTGAGGCAGGGAGAGCAACCAGGAGGCTATTTCAAGAGTCCAAGATATGATCTAAGGAGGGCCTGCATTAGGTTAATGAGTATTTAAGTTAAGAAAAGGAGGCATATTTAAGAAATATTTTGAAAGCATGAACAAGACTTGGCAACAGATTGGATATGCTAAGTGAATGTGTGACAAGGGAGTTAAGCATAGCAATGAGGTTGTGAAGCTGGGTAATTGAAAGAATGGAGGTATACTTGACAGCATCAGGGTAGTTTACAAAGGGGAAGGGATTGGAAGGAAAAATAATGATTGAAGTTTTGGACATGTTTTCTAGGACAGCTGTTTATGATAGGAGATGCTTTATTTTTCTTCTATTTTTTAAATCTTTCGATTTTCTCCTAACATTTCTTGTTGTTTTATGGAGTCAATCATTTCTGTTTGGCCCATTCTAATTTTTAGAGTCTTTCTTCAATAAAGTTTACTTTCCTTTCTTTCTAAGCCACTAATTTTCCTTCAAAGCCTTTCTTCCATAGCTTTCATTTCTTTTATGATTTCTTGCTTGATTTCTTTTTAGTACTCTTATAGTCCTTATGGCTAAGTCATTTTCTTCTTTGAGATTCTACTTGGAATAATTATGGAGTTATTCTCTTCTAGATATTTATTTTTGGATTATTCTTTATTAAAAAGAAAAATGTCTACATTTTTAGATAACATAAAAGGAACTATATAGTATTGTGCTCGTAAAAATTATATTTAGGGGCAACTAGGTGGCACAGTGGATACAGCACCAGCCCTGGAGTCAGGATGTCCTGAGTTCAAATCCGGACACATAACACTCACTTAGCTGTGTGATCCTGGGCAAGTCACTTAAACCCAATTGCCCCACCAAAAAACAAAACAAAAACATTATATTTGATTTTGTTTCAATTAACAAAAATCAACTTCTTCTCCTTCCTATCTCCCTGAACCTCATTGGAAGGAAAAGAAAAAGAAAAACCAAACCCTTCTACCAAATATGTACAGTTAAGCAAAACAAATTCTCACAGTCAGCATGTCCAAAAAAATGTCTCATTTTGCATACTGAGGCCCATCAACACTCTGTCAGGAGATGAGTAGCATTCAGGGATAGCAATCATGATCTCATACAAAGCAAAAGCCAAAATAGACCTAATTAATACTTTTACAATTTTACATTTACATTTATTTACCTAATACAATGAAAATACAAAGGAAAAAATTAAAATGACTCTAATAAGTATTAATTAGGTTTGTTTTTGCTTTTGCTTTGTCTGAGGTCATGATTGCTGTCCCTGCCTTTTTTACTTCACCTGAAGCATAATACATATTGCTAGGCCCTTTATTTTAACTTATATTTGCCTTTCAGTTTCTAGGGTGTTTCTTATATACAGTATTTTATTGGATTCTGGTTTCTAATCCATTTTGCTATCCACTTCGATTTATGGGTCAGTTCGTAGCATTCACCTTCAGGAGGTGATAAGTAGATTCTTTCCATTTCAATTTTACCCTTTCTTTCTAAGATATCAGGGCAAGTTTCCTTTATAATTTCTTGAAATATGAATGATAGTATCTTTTTTGTGATTGTGGCTTTCATGCAATCCACTAATTCTTAAATTATCTCTCATCAATCTGTTTTCTAGGTCAGTTGTTTTTCCAATGAGGTATTTTATATTTTCTATGATTTTTTTCATTCTTTTGACTATATGTTATTGTTTCTTGGTGTCTCATGGGGTAATTAACATTCGCTTGCCAAATTTTCATTTTTAAGGAATTATTTTCTTCAGTGAGCTTTGTACCTTTTTCCCCCATTTGGCCGGTTCTTTTTCTTAAGGAGTTCTTTTCTTCAGTGAGGTTTCATACCTCTTCTGCTATTCAGCCAAATTTTGTTTTTTAAAGGTATTTTTTTTTTCAGTATTTTATGCCTCTTTTACCAAGCTGTTAATTCTCTTTCCATAATTTTCTTGCATCACTCTCATTTCTTTTCCCAATTTTTCCTCTACTACTCTTACTTGATTTTTAAAATAATTTTTTTGCTCTTTCTTTGGCTCTTCCAGAAATTTATGTTGAGTTTGTGGCCAATTTGCATTTTTCTTTGAGGCTTTGCCTGTAGCTGTTTTGACTTCATTGTCTTCTGAGTTTGTTGAGCTTCCCTGTCAACATAGTCGCTTTTTAAAGTTGAGTTCTTTTTTTGGTTGTTTACTCATTTTTCTGTCTTATTTCTTGACTTTGAACTTTATGTTAAAGTTGGGCTCTGCCTACCTGGGTGGAGAAGTGGCTGTTCTAAGTTTCCTGTTTTTGTTGCTGCTGTTTTCACAACTGGTTCTGGGAGTTTATAAGTTTTCAGTGTTTCCAAGGTCATGTGATCCAGGGAATGATATGGTCACTGTTCTGATCTATGCTCAAGGGTCTGTAAAACCCTTGTGCATACCACTTGACCCAGCTATACCACTACTAGATCTGTATCCCAAAAAGGTCAAAGAAAAGAGGAAAGGACCTATTTGTACAAAAATATTTATGGTAGCTCTTTTTGTGGTGGCAAAGAATAGCAAATTGAGGAAATGCCTATTAATTGGGGAATGGGTAATCAAGATGTGGTATATGATTGTGATGGAATGCTATTGTGCTAAAAGAAATAATGGGGACAAAGTTTTCAAAACACCTAAGCAGATTTATATGAACTGACACAGAGTGAAGTGACAGAAGCAGGAGAACATTGTACATAGTAAAAGCAATATTGTAATGATGATCAGCTGTGAAAAACTTAGCTCCTCTGATCAAACCAATGATCCAACACAGTTCCCAGTTAGAAAAAATAGTTTATCTAATTTACCTTCCATTATCTCTTGCTTGTTCAACAATTGTTTCTCTGTCCAAAAACCTGAAAAGATAATTTCTTGGTTGATCCTCTGATTTGTTTATGATGTCACCCTTTATGTCTCTCACGTATCCACTTGGAACTTATCTTGGTGTATGGCAGAAGATATTGATCTATACCTCATTTCTCTCAGGCTCTTTTATAGTTTCCTAGTGTTTATCAAATGTAAGCTTCTGTATACTGTGTTTGTAATCTGTTCCAATGATAAACCTCTCTTTTTCTTAACCTGTATTAAATAATTTTGATCATTACAGTTTTTTTATGTTAGTTTGGAATCTGGTACCACTAGGCCCCCTTCCTTCCCACTTTTTATCATTATTTCCCTTGAAATTCTTGACTTTTTTTTCCTCCAAATATATTTTGTTATTTAAAATATTATGGTGTTTGATGAAGCTGTTAAATTCATTCATCTTTCTCTTCCCAGAATAGGTTTTGTTTTCATTCTTAATACAGATGATGTAATTGATGGGCACAATAATGCTGGAGTTGCCCTTTGGCGAGTTATCAGTTACATTGTTGAAGAATATAACATCACACAAGCCTTTTCTGCCATAGTGAAGGTAAGTATTTGTAGAAGGGGATAATTTATTTTAGATCATTTATTTTATTTTCCCTTGAATTTGTATCATGCAAATTTAGGAAGAGAAAATTGCCATGGTTTGTGGACCAATTTTTTAAAATAAGGAAAGAAATTTTAAAAAATTTAAATAAGTGTGTGTTTTATGTATGGAATGAATGGTTGCTCTTAACAATTTATATATTGTTGTCATAAATTTATTTGGTGCTTTATAATAGCCATCAAATATTAATTTCTACCTCTACTGAGGCCCTACCATAACGTCTCAGTATGGTGTATATTGTATTCTTCAAGCAAATAATTCTTGATTCGCAAAGGTTATACAAGAGGAATGCAATCCCTTAATTGTAGTAATGAGGCCCTGGACGTTTTGATCACCAAATGACATTATAAAGTACAATTGATTATATTTTAAGAAATATAAAATTACATTACTTCTGTGGGAGTTATTCCTAAACCAGATAGCTGTACAGTCAGCCACTGACATTTAGAAGCAAATAATTAAGAATTAAGAGAAGAAATTCTTAAAATTATTAAGAATTAAGAGAAGAAAAATGGGGAAAATATAACATATAATTAATACAATTCCAGACTTCACCATTCAAATGAGTTGTCAGTGTCAAAAAATGAGAAATGAATGAAGGAGCAAACATCAGCACCAATTGCAATAATTTTCTATAGAAGTATATCCAATGTATATCAATTGTTATACTAATACTAGAATATCCTAGAAATTTCCTCAATTGACAAACATTTGCTCTCTTTACTCAGTGGAATGATATGGCAGCCAAAAGTAATACCAGCAAAATCTAACACAGAAGGATAAAGGAAAATTGTAAACACTATCACTTCTTGAAACAAAAAGAAGCAATAGAAGCCAAAACAAAATTAAAGAGAGATTACTAGAAAACCACCCTTAGTCAGTATGGAGATATTTTTGGATGCGGTAGACAGGAGAAAAACAAAAAATGGAAAAGATCTGTAAAGATTTTAACAACAAACTCTAGTCATCACCAAGGATACTAGAGACTACAGCATTGCACATCTCACATCACAGTCCATAATTTCCTTCTTGGGAAAATGGAAGTGATACCAAAGAAAACAAAGAAGCACAAAATTAGCTGGGCTATATGCCAAGTACACACTGAAGAGGTTTATACTATAAAATGTAACGATGTTGATGGTGTTGTGGTATTGAGGTTTTGATTGAGGATATATAAAAGAGGGAAAGGTATCAAAGATATGGAATAAAATTTGGACCTCATTACCATCTTTGACTTTTTACTCTCACTTGGTACTATCATTTCTATCTTCACCACATCTTTTACATATTTTCTTTTCTCCATTCATATAGATATCACCCTAGTGCGATCTGTCATCACCTCATGCCAAAACTATTACAATAGCCTTCTAGTTGTTCTCCCCACTTTAAATCTCTTCCCCATTTCAGTCTATCCTCCATTCACCTGCCAAAGTCATTTTCCTAAAGTTTAGGTTTGACCATGTCACCCAATAAATAGTGGCTCTTTACTACAAGATCAAATATACGATCTTCTGTTTAGTTTTTCTTAAAACCCTTCATATCCTGGCCTCTCTCCCTCTCCCTTTCAGTTTGCTTACATTATTCCTTCTACCCCAAAGACTGTGATCCCAGTGGCATTTATACTTCATATATCTCATGTATGATACTGTGTCTTCCTTCTTTGTGTTCTTTTTGGCTGTCTTCCATACCTGGATGCTCCTGGCTACCATGGTTAGTTTCAAGACTTGCCTCAAATTCCACCTTCTGCAGCAATACTTCTTAATCTTCTCATTTATTCCTAGTTCCTTTGCTCTGAGATCACCTTCTTTTTATGTTATATGTGTCTTGGAAGTATGTTTTTTATAGGTTGTCTTCCCCCTTAGAGTGTGAGCTTCTTTAGGGCAAGGACTGTGTTTTTGCTTTTCTTTATATTGGCATACAGCAGTGCCTGGCACAAATTAAGTGTTTCATAAATGATTGTAAAGTGGTAGAATCAATGATTTGGGGAATAAATATGAGTTCTCTTTTGGACTTGATGAGTTCAAAATGCCTTGGGGACACCCATGAAAATATGTCCATCAGCTATGGGTAATGTAAGACTGAAGTTCAGGAGAGATATTAGATCTAGAAATATGTCTTTGGGAGCCATGTATATAGAGAAGTGATGATCAGCCCCATGGCAACTGAAGAAATAACCAAGAGGAAGAGCTGAGGAGAGAGCTTTAAGGAAACATGTTCACATAGTGGGTATGAGGAACATGATGATCCAACCAAGGAGATTGAGACAGAGAAATAAGAGAAGAATCCAGAGAAAAGTGTCATGAAAGCACAGCAAATAAGAATATGGTCCAGAAGGGGTATTTTCAATACTGTCATAAGCCACATTGATCAAGTAGAAGGAGGTTTAGGAAAGAAAAGTCATCTCATTTATTGAAGATAATTATATCTGCCATAAAATGGAATGATGTTTTCATTTGCTTTTTTTGAGGGTGGTTTTTAAGACTAAATTTTGTGTTTCTCAGTCAGATACCTTCTTAAAAGTGACAAATGGTTGACCCTGTGGGATTTTGTATTCTTTATACCTTTCAGTTATTTACCTGACTGTACAGATGTGGTTTTCTGTAGAAAAAAATCTGTGAAAACTATCTCTCCTCTTATAATATTTTGACTAAGGATAACCTCAATTTGTGAATATACCATTTTACTAAAGATGAAAAATGTAGACATATGGATTGCAAGGTGCTAATATATTCTCAGTTTCTTTTAAAAAAAAAACTTTTCCAGGTGTTTAGAATCTTTTCCCCTTTGAGATCTTTAAAACTGATCCTCACTTACATTTAAAAATAGTATTACCTCCTGCACAAATTGATTCTCTGTGTATTTGGTCAAGTTAACAAGGTCTTCTTGACTTTATCCATGGCCCTACCTTGTTATAGTAGAATAGGAATTAAAATTTTGGAGTACAAGAGTGGTGGAAGCACTGTCATTGCCAGTGAGATTAGAGTGTTACATATACACTTCCAGATAGTTCCGTTTCACATTTATTTGTTTTCCTCCTGGTTTCATATAATTGTTCTTGAGATGACTTGATTCAGCTTAGTTTTATCCTAAGCTCCTTCTTGGCCTATTTCCTCTCAACTTCTTTCTACAGTCTACTGAGTTGATGTTGATATCAATTTCCATTGTTTTGTTCTGTAACATTTCATAAATTAACTTGTACTTTAATTTGTTTGCCTTTGACTGCCATGCACCTCTGATTGGTGAAGAGATCACATTTTCTGGTTCTTTTGCATTATTTAGTCTTTTTGGCCGTGCTGTTATGGCAAGAGTATGCCATTGCTTAAATTTGTCTAAGAAGTGGTGATAGGACTGATGTTTTAACTTTTGTTAATTTCCCATTTTTTTGAAGTCGACAGCTTGTTTAGTAGTTCAGATAACAGTTGTTATAATCTCACATAGTATTGTCATCTTATTTCTATCCCTGTAACTGCATTTTTATTTTGACTTTTGCTGTCAAAGATATAAAAAACTTATTCTCATTTGACTAAAATATCTATACTCAATTAATCAGCCTTTTTTGTATTTATGATCTTTGCTCACTGTTTTCAGTGCCTTCTAATTCTGTTATTGTCAAAACTGTTTATGATGTATTGTGAGATTTTTGAAGTCTACATTTCTTGATCCTGAGTATTTTCCAGCTAATTGTTTGTTCTCCTTTCTCTCCTCCTTATTAAAGTTAACAAGTATAGTTTGGAGGATTTTGTCAAGGATACATCTTATCTACTTTGCCAAATAGATTTTGGTTGAATTATTTTTTAAATAAAGAGGTGGGGAAGTTCCTACAGGCATGAAATGTTGCATGCACTTTCAGATGTGGTCACTATATTAGTTTTATTTAACTTTTATTTTGTTAACTAAGATCTCTAGCAAAGTGGTAGTGATATGAAAATGTTTATAATGTAAAAACAAAACACAACTATCACTTTTTTTAAAAAACTACGTAACAAAGGTTAATGGTCACAGAAAAGTAAAGCTGAAATGTTAGGTGTTAGTTCTTGCTTTTTATCATAATCAGAAATTAAAATAGTTCATTTCTGAAATTTTAAATGTAAGTGGGAGAATAAGATTTAATTTTCAAGAATACATATGTATATGAAATAAAATAAAGTATTACTTTATTTAGTAATTAAGGTTCCTGATCTCATTGAACACAGTGAATAAATGAATGAAATGAATGCATTTATTAAGTGTACACTGTGTACTTTTATTTTATTACATAAAAATATTGCCAAACAATGTACTAAATTCTGAGGATAAAAAATGAAAAATCTAGACAATTTCTGTTCCCAGGGAGCTCACATTCTAATTGAGAGAGACAACTTAAAAAGAAGGTCCATTACAAGTTCCAAGGGTATGATATTAGGATGGATGGTAAGTCCCAGAGCTCTTTACATTACTTAAATAATTAATATGACAGTGCTAGGGAAATGCAGGGCCCAGGGGCAGGGCAGACAGTAAAACCTAGGATATTTCAAAAGGCAATGGCAAGGCAGATATTTGGAGTAGGATTCCTACATAGCAACAGAAAGAACAGAGTTACTGATTTCCATGTAATTCAGACTCTGTGAGCAGTCAAGCATCCAAAGCAAGATGCTGAAGTGCCCCTGGAAATGATGTTCTTCCTGCCTGGCCATCCTGTAGATTCTGGGACCTCCAGAACTGATGGAGGGGGTGAGAAAGGAAGGCAGAGACAGCTCTTCTACCACCTATATGACCAGAATTGTTCTGGGGCTGCCTGAGACTGAACTTAGTAACAGTTAAACAGTTTTTTAAATCCCTTTTATAAGTTACTTGGTGACAGTGTAGTATAGAGCACAGGATTATGAATCAGGAAACCTAAGTTTTAGTTCTTGCTCTCTCACTGACTCACTATGTGAACTTGTGTACTGTGTGAACATTTAACCTCTATAAGCCTGAGTTTCATCATCTATAGAATAAAGGACGACTCTGGATAAGGAATCAGGAATTTTCAAATCCTGCCTGAAAGACCTAGTAATTGCTTAACCTCTCTTAGTCTTAGTTTCCTCATCTGTAAAATGGGGGATGGGGTAATAATAGCATGTATTTCATAGGATTGTTGGTGATAATCAAATGATAGAATAAATGTAAAGTCATTTCCAAACCTTAAAGCGTATGATGATAATGATCCTCATCTAGTTCTAACATTCTATTTTATCAGTTTATTGAATGCATTTTATTTCTAGGGTAAATGAGATATTACTTATTTTTTGTTTTCTAGAGAACATGAGATATTATTCATGCAATTATATATTACTGATACATGACCTTTATGTATTTTTATACCAATACAAGACATGTTATGCTCTTTAGCCATTTTCATCAAGCTATATAACAATACAAAATTAAACTGGCTACTCTAAAGGTAAAAAAATGATATTCTTGTTTTCACAGATGTACCATAATGTGAAGGAAGGAGACTTATTAACTGTGGACATCATTAAAAGTGTTTTTCAAACTACATTCCCTGATGCTAATCTTCAGGATATCCTGGGAGTCCATTCTGAATATGACACAAACAGAAAGGTATTGTGAAAAGGGAGTAAAAGTTCCAAAAGTAAAATTAAAGCAGTTTTTCTCTTAAGTATTTATTCTTATCATAAAATATTCATAAAGAACACAATATTATGTTTTTAAATTAGGAGTTCTATATTCCATGTGCGAAGGGAAAAATAGTGAGTGGCCTACAGAAAAGCCTTATGTTATTACTATTAGCTATACTCAGAGGAGAATGGCATTTGGTCCTAGAAGGATGGTTCCTGGAATTCTTGAAAGGGGTTGAATTATATTTAGAGTGTTTGAGGTCTGAAAATCAAATTTTTTTCAGTGGATGGGATGAAAAGACATATGGAAAGAGGGAGAAGGCAGTGTTATGATTGGGATGAAGTTTAAAAGAGAGGACAGCTTGAATGTTCTCTAAGTGAGAACACAGGCTTACCATAGGAGTTTGATATGGCAATATTAAGAAGGAAGGGTATATCATTTGAAACCAGAATGACTTAGAGGTATGAGCAGGTTTCCAAAGGCCAACAAACAGGAAGAGACTTTGCATGACTCCTGGAATGTGATTTAGAAGAATGTGTCCTAGAATCAATTTGTAACTATATTCTTTAATATGTTGTTGTGTATTTAAGATAATATAATGCAGATTAATTTCGAAGAAAATGTTAGCCCCCATTTTACTTTTTTTGTTTGCATGACCATTGCTTTTTTCCAATCAAATTGAATCTGGCTCTTCAGAAAAGAGTCGTCTTCTTTTGAGCTACCAAGCTATATTAACTCTTGTGGGGCAGAATCTCTTCACATTCACTGACTGACCAATCCTTACCATAAATTAGCACATCTCAAATGGCCTTTATACCTAAGAATACAGCATCCAAACAAAAGTATATTAGGTGATGAATTTCTCTGGGCTTACCTAGCCTAGTACTTAAACAGATTACACATGACTTTTACTGAAACAGCAATGAAATCCCTTTCAATTTGATAGGAACTGCCAGAGTTTGTTCTCTGATGGCTTAGACTTTGAGGACTATAGATCACATGTGGGTCACTACAGAAAGGCTTTAGTAGATAATCTTTTTCATATTTATATTTCTAGCTTTTCTGTTCCATATGTATCAATGAATCAATCAACACATATTTAAAGCAACTAGGTGGCTCAGTGGAAAGAGTGCTGGACATTGAGTCAGGAAGACCTGAGTTCAAATCTGCACCCAGACACTAATTAGTTGTGTAACCCTAGGCAAGTCATTTTACTTCGGTGTGCTTCAGTTTCCTCATCTGTGTAGTAGGGATAATAATAGCACCTACATCTGAGGGTTGTTATGAGGACAAAATGAGATAATGTTTGTATAGTGATTTGTAAATCTTAAAGCACTACAAAAGTTCTAGCTCTTATTAATAATAACAATATTAATAGTAAGTGCCAGGCACTATACAAAATGCTATGGATATAAATCAAAGAATTAAACCCTTCCTTTTCATAAAGAACTTATATTCTAATGGAAGAGACAAGTACATATAAAAATACACATTATATGTAGCATAAATATAAAGTTGGTCAATACAAATTTATATAAAGTTGCTAAATACAAGGTAGTTTTATAGCCCACTTGCAGTTGGAAGCATCAGGATGGATTTCCTACAGCAGATGGTGCCTAAGATTCATGTTAATGAAGGAGAGAAATTCTATTAAGGAGGGCATACATTCCAGACATGTGAGAGAAACACTGCAAAGATACAGAGATGAGAGATGGAAAGGCATGTTTGAGGAACAAAGAGAAGGTCAGTTTGGTTGGCCTGAAGAGTGTGCAGGAAGGACATATAGGATGGGGCATCCAGAAAACTTGGAGATCTCTAATTTTCTTCAAGTTGTACAATTCTGTCATTTTTTCAATATATTTACATATTGATTTCAGGTGTCATTAAAGTATTTTTGTTGCTTAATTCAGCCTTTTCCCAGTTCTGCATGTCTTAAGTATTGACATTTAGAATTTCTAGAGCACTTGCTTCCTGCACTATTTATTTTGACATCCTATAATAATATTATACAGGGTGTCCCAAACATCAGCTATTAAAGCTTAAAGCTAGACTTGGATGGATACCCCGTATACTTATTTTCTGTATGTATTGTGTGGGGATTATAATTGTTCCAACCTGCAAGAAAAACTACTGAGGCAGAGCATTGAGCCAGAGCACTTTGTTAAAGGGTCCATGGTTCCCTCTAATGAAGGGGACCTCAGATCCCCACACATCTAAGGTGCCCCCTTCTTCCAGGATATTATTTTTATAAGGCTTGATACCACATTTGATACTTGAACACTCTAGAGGGGCTACACAAAATACAGAATTCCATTAGTTGATAGACCTTGATTTGAGGGCCAAAAATGATGTATCAGGCAAAAAGTGGTATGTCAGCAGGGGAATCTTGGGTTGGGTGAAGCATGGGGCATCTCCACTGACTAAGTGGTCATAAGATGGTCACCTGCTCATGTTGGACAAGAGAGAGTGGTCTGGAGGTACAAAAATAAGCTGGGCTTGGTCACCATAACAAGGAAAAACAAGGGTGAAGGGCCTTCCTGTGATGAAGCAAGTAAACTTACAATATACAGTTCATAGCTCTAAGGCCCAATATGCAGAACTTATAATCACTACCCCTATGGAATCATATCAAGCTGATTAGTACTGATTGGAATAGAGTAGGGGTCCAAATGAATCATGTCTTACAGTTGTCTGATCTTTTAATTGGAAGATTCTTGAGAACCAGAACTGTGCCTTATACTGTTTTAATTTCCCTACTTAATCAAATAGGATACTAAACACATCACAGGAATTTAGCAAATGTATGCTAAATTGGATTGAATTCACCTGCAGTTGTTAATGCAATAAACTGAACATATTAATTTTTATATATGTTTCTTATACAATAAGAAAACAATTACCATGTAGCAAAAAAATTAATCTGTAGACTGCCAGGTCTGTCAGAACCTTTCTCTTGGGTAGACACTGAAGATAGATAATGAACTGGATCAAGAATTGAATTAGAGGAGAAGAGTGAGTTGTATTACATTTAAGAAGTTGCTGTGCTTTTAAGGACCCTGAGCTTTTCCCTAGCAAAGGCTTATCCATTTAGCATTAATTGTCTTCTATTGATCTCCTCTGTAAGATAAATGGAACACCACAGTCTCTGAAGAGTGAAAGTTGACTGTCTCCTAAAAGAAAATGGAGTGGCTCATGATGAACAGCCAACATGTTCCATTGGTATCCATAAAATCAATGTGTCAGAAAGTATTTATTAAGCACCTGCTGTATGCCAGGTACTCTGTTAGGCACTGGGGATACAAAGACAAAAATGAAACAGTGCTTGGTCTCAAGGACCTTCTATTCTACTGGAGAGGCATATACACATTTAATTATATATAACATAAATACAAGATCATTTGGAGGGATTTTGGGAGGTGAGTCCCTGGCAGCTGAGGGGATCAGAAAAGGCCTCGATGTATGTATTTCAACTACAATGTCAAGAGATATAGAAAAAGGCCCTTGCGTTAACCTCCATGGAAGATTTTTAAGAAAATATGGGCAAGAGTTATGCAGTATTGACAAGGCCTAGATAATTTGTGATCTTCATCATTGGGGGACTCACATCAGTGAGATCAAAAATCCATATAATTATTCAAAAGTTAATCATGGTGTGGTGACCCTGGGTTCTTAGAAATTATGAATGTTAATCATAATCTCCAGCAGATCTTGTCATGCTTGAAAAGCCTGGTGACATTCTCTGTGTCTGTAATCCCAGAGTCAAATACCCAAGTGTGGAGAGGCTTTTCACCAGAAGTCTGGCCACTAATTGATAGATATTTTTTGGTCACAGTAACTTGTGAAACCACCTACTAAGACATACTAGGGCCCTGGGTGGAAGGAGAGCCTTCAGCTAAAATCACAGATCTTTTGAAGTCTTAAAGTCATTTATGATTTCTCACGGTAAGAGGTACATTTACTTCATTATTACTTTTACTGTTTGCAAGTAATAATGAAATTTACACATCACAAATTTATAAAATTACAGATATTGAAATTGCAAAATGTAGGGTACTAATAGAAATTTACCTTAAGTCAGTTATTTTCCTTTAGAGAATTTTAAGATTTACAATTATGGTACATATGCATCATGTTTCTAGCAATGTTATGTAATATAAAGTTAATGTCAGTCTCTCTACAGTATACTATAAAAGATATTCTTTCAGTAGATTATAATGGTTTGTTGAAATTAATTTATTTAAAGTTCTTAGTTTCTCTTTTCTAGGTTAGAATGTTCTTGTGATTCTAAAATTAAATCTAGAAAAGAATGTGAGTCCAGTAACTCAAGCAGATTTGCTGAAAATTCTAATATATGTAATGGGAGCATTTAAAACTTTGCTATTTTTAATTTATTTGGGTAGTTACATCCAAAATAAAATTTAAGTTGTCTTTCCAACATTCTGATAATTCTACATCCACAGCTGTATAGCTTAAAACAGCAGTTGGTGACTATTGGCACACATGCTAGAGATTAGCACATGAAAACACTATTTTTTTTCCCATGGGCCTATCTCTGATAGAAGTCTCAAAATCACATTTGCAGTCATCAGAAAGAATTCTGAGATTTTATTTGTCCCTGACATAGCCACAGTTTTGAGTCATAAGTTATTATATTGTTAAAACTGGGTGCAGGTCCATAAAAGAGGTCAAAACTTGCTCAGCTTTGGGCAGTGGTACCTCAGTGCCCTCCCATTTATCTCCTTTTTTGTACACATTGTCTGGTTCTCATAAATACTGCCAATGACACTCCTAACAGGATTATTCTGTGCTTACTTTATCAATTTATGCACAAATAGTTCCTAATTTCTAGTGCAAATGAACCTTGCAAATATTTTTCCCTTGTCCTTCTTATATTTATCCACCATAGCTAATGCTTTGATAGCATTGAAATTTAGTATATAAGTAAACATACTCTTAAGATGTAGGTCATATTTTTGCTTTTA